CCCCCCCCCCCCCCCCCCCCCCCCCCCCCCCCCCCGCCAAATCTTGAAGGTCTAAACAGTGAACCCCGTTAATACGGACACTGAGGGGGCCATAGAAAGTTCCCGTATATATATGAACTGCTAAGTAACATTTCCATACCTAGTCTGAAATGACGACAATTAGCCGAGTATAGTACAGATATTATAGACAGGCTGTACCAGACGATAGAAAACAGGGACCGGTATCCGCGCGCCTAGTGTCCACTCAAAATTACTAGTAAGATTACTGTGACAGTGGAGGTTATGGAACTTATATAAACCAATATGACTACCGTAGTTGAAAATATAGTGGTTTCCATCAGTACTTATTAATTAGCTAAATGTTTAACGTGCATCGAGTTCTGAAAAGTGTCTAAAAATTTTGACGAGAGTTTTCAGTGTAAAAGTCGTTAGCAACGTCAGTTTGTCTGCGTCTTCCTTGGATACGACATCAGCGCGCAAAAGTTGTTCATCCGTTTTTTTGCGTCATGGTAGACCTAAGGTAATTCTTGATTCTTTTTTTGACACTGAAAGACCTTTCACTCGAAGCATTTGTGGCAGGCATAACTAATGTCAGTTTCACTAAAACTGTACATGTTGCAGTCTCACTGAATGAAGCAGGTCCATTTGCATTAAGAAATTCTTTTATGGATGACACAGAGGCTATGGCACTTTCTCGAGCATACATTTTCAAAATAATAAGCTGTGTTTCAAGACGTTCCCTGTTCTTATCTGAACCATAAAAGTTTCAGATTGCATTGATAATGGGTAACTTGAGAAATCGCCTCATGAAACCGTCTTGAGAAGCAAGTTTTTCGAGATTCGTATAATAGATTTTAGGGACGTAGCGTGAGATTTTAAAGGTGAAACGTAAAGGGGGAAAAGTTAGGGGGCCGAAGACGCTCCAAAGTAGGGGGGTTGGGGGGCATGCTTCCCCAGAAAATTTTTACCTAGGGGCTCGTATATGCTATTTCCTGCGTTATCCACAGGACATTTTAATACGAAAGAAAATGCAAATTGTTAGAATATATTTTACCTATCTCTAATGTTGTCGTTAAGGTACAATGTTAACGGGAAAAAAGGTAAACAGTGACGCCATGGAGAAAATTACAAGCAAAGGACGAGATCAGTAGCCTGCATGACAGCCGTCTCTCCTCGTCCTTCCTGCGAAACATCCCTTGTGATGAGGAGCGAGGAGAGACGGCTGTATGCGCTGACTAAGGACGAGACAGAGCTTTAAAAATACTTGAGAGGTTAAAAAATTAGCCCTAACAATTATTAACTCAGTATTTTCAACGGTGAAGTGGTGGTCTTCTTTTTTAAAAAATTTTGCCAAAAAGTGAGGGGCACGGGCCTACTCGCCCCCCCCCCCCCCCCCCCCCCCCCCCCCCCCCCCCCCCCCCCCCCCCCCAGGCCCCCCCCCCCCCCCCCCCCCCCTCCTCCCCCTTCCTCCTACTCCTACGGCCCTAATTTATACCATCGAATCGATGGTATGTTGCTTGCGTCTTCCAAATATGGTAAGCGCCACTTGGTTATGAGGAAGCGAAGCGAATGAGGTAAGCGAAGCGAATGAGTGAAATATTCTTCAACACAAGAAAAGAAATTTCGTATCTTTAAGAGGCCATGTAATGTTCTATCTATTTTATAAACACCAATAAAAAAACCAAACCATTTCGCTTTAATATTTTTTTAATTCCTAGAGAAGACGAATGTGTCAGAACTAAACATGGAACGAAGTACACAGCCTTTAAATATAAATTCCTTTTGTTTGCAATGTAACAAATTAAGAGCTATCCTAAAATATATGGCTCATAGAATTTTACATGTCGAAAAAAGCCAGCTGTTAGCAAGACTATTTTTAGACATCAAATCCAATGTGGCCCTACATTTATAAGTTCCATTTAAAATAAAGAACGAGAAAAAGTTCAGTACTAAAAATTAAGGAGCTGGTAAAAACTATAAATAAAAGCACTTCATAAGATGTAATGGCAAATATTAGAAACAAAAGTTAGACTGGGTAAGTAAAGATATCAAACAGAATGGGAAATGAGTCAGGAGTAAGAGAGAACCTGGGTTCGCCAATTTTCAAAGCTTGTGACTGAAACAGTTGTATTTTCCAGAATTTTTAACAGTACGGTGTATGATGGTGAACAGTAGGTTGCAAACCACTCTGTAAAACTTTTTTTTTTTCATAGATATTCTGCATTTGCAAATTCAACAAGTATAGAATAGACCTTGTCACGGTCTTCGACGCCCTCTTGAAGAGTAGGCAAACGTGTAAGAAATTACAGTGTTTGTAGGAGAATCTAACGTCGAATAATTTTCGTAAAACGGCTGTTCTGAAAAAAATACCAATTGTAAACTAAAGCTACAAAGCAAAGGATTGTCCTAAAACATTTTGGGGGCGTACCTGTGCTTACATTTCTCCAGAGGCTTGCTATAGATTTTCCATATATTTGTCTGTAAGTTTCCCGGGACTTTCTTACAGACAAATGTATAGAAAATTTTAAAAAGTGGTTCTAGGTTTCTAGTACATATAACGCCCTCAACTTTTTTCAGGAGACGTTTATCTTAGTTCAGTTGCAGCTAAGACCAGTACAGAATACTGCAACCGCCTTAATTGAACCAAATCACTTTCAACTTATTGACTTTGATGTTATTAAGAATCCATAAAGATCTCATATAAATGTTCATTATCTTGTATTACATTAAAAAGTTTTGTTACTTTGAAAAAAAAAAAAATTTATATGCTAAATTCTAGGTGTTAATAAGTTTCATTTCATGGTCGTTAATGTTCTAGTGAGTTCAATTATAGCAAAGCACTTTCCTTTGGAATTTCACGTCTACCTCGCCTTTAGATAAAGAGACGTTTCTTAACAGATTAAACGAAAACCTTGTTCCAGTTAAAAGTTATATACAACAGCTGTAAAACTTTCTTCTCTGTAATATCAGTGAAGTCTTACTTGTTCTGCTCCTAACATCATGTGCCTCTTTGCGGTACAATATTTTTCATTTAGCCTTCACCTCCTCTGCAGACGTTTCCCTGTGGGTTACACTTGTTTACCTTACACCGCATAATGGGTACCTACCCATTCGTTCTCTGTTACGTATAAAGCCTGCGTCAGTACAAAAGCCAAAGAAAACATTCAATCTACACCAAGAACGCACATTATGATCAATGATTACTACTAGTATAATATCTTTCTCAGGTCTCTCAGGATCGATGGAAGAGGATTTCTTCGCCGAAAGCCAACTTTAAAAAAAGTTTCGCCAGACCAGATATCTAAACGCCGCACATGCGCAGAAGCGTGTCACAGTCCCTTTAACCAAATGTGCCTTTTTTATGAACAGCTTTGCTGTCCTGATCAGAGAACTGAATACATAAATCGGTGTTGAAAACCTCAGTGGAACCTTAATCAAGCAAACACGTTTTACTAGGTCCCTTAATTGGCCCTTCGTTGTATCCGGCGATGTTCCACTGTAATCTCAATAGAACTCTTTAGCTTGTATGTTTTGTTTTCCCAATACAAGTCACGTGATGATACTCTAGGGAACCGTTCTTTTAAATTGCGTCTTATTCATGTGCATATTTACCCACAATTTATGAAAAAAAAAAAACAACGGTTCAAGTTCCCCTGAAGCTAAAGAGGTTTATTAAATACCCCACTTCCACATTTCCCAAAATGCACCTTATTTGTCCCCCAAACTTTTGCATAAGTTTTCTTTTCAACTTCTCTTGGGAAGGCTGTGATACCCAGTAGAAATGAAAAACCTTTTTTGGGGGGCGGGGGGGAATAAAGCGCATTTTGGAAAATGTGGAAGTAACGAATGCCCAAGGTATTGTTTAGTCGCTAAGAACTTCTGGATTGCTTTATCAGCGCAACTCTACAGCACGAGCTCTGCAGCCAAGGAAAGACGTTTCTCGATTTCACTTTCTTGACTGTTTAGTAAGGACTTGAAAAAAGATCCTGACAGATTTCTTTGGGCGCGTATTGAACTTTAAAAGGTTAAAATGTGGAGAAGATCTTATGCAGTTGCGTAACGAAAGCCTGAAAAAAAGGAAAAATTCAGGCTTGCCGGGATTCGAACCGTGGCCTCTGCGATACAGGAGATAAAGAGCGTGAAAAAGTTCAACACTAAAATTACGGAGATGGCAAAAACTATAATGCACTGTACAAGATGTAATGGCAAATGTTAAAAACAAAAGTTATGCTACGTAAGTAAAGATATCAAACAGTGTGGGGAATGAATCAGGAGTGAGACAGAACCTGGGTTCGTCGATTTTCAAAGCTCGTGAAGTTTTAATTTCCAGGATTTTTAACACCACGGTGTACTATTGTAAACAGTAGGTTACAAGCTAATCAGTCTGTAGTACTATTTATTTAGATATTCTGCATTTGCAGATTTTCAACAAGTATAGAATATCAAGAATAGGCTGTCAAAGAATTGATAGTCCAACTGCCTCAGTAAATCTTACATGAAAGCTTGATTATATTGCACGAAAACAGTTAAACTGTGCAGTTAAAAAGACGTTACGAATCTTGTATCCACTTCCTTTCTCTTAAAGTTTTTTTTTTTTTTTCTCAAGGTTAAAGGGAAAACGTCATGGAAAAAATCTTGGAGATTGTACAGACTATTTATATTGGTACAGTTGTTGCAACTTTTCTTTTCAACACTGGACGTATTGTAAAAGCAGTAGACATCTTTAACGAATGTTTGGTGCTCCTTAACGGAAAAGCCCTAGAGATAATCAAGGAACTTACCGCACCATGGGTTATCTCTCTATACTATAAACTTCTTAATGGATATATTCTTATCTACGATCACACCCGTGCAATAGAATGTGGTAAAAAGCTTCACGTGACACTACACAATAGTGGTCAAAAAGAAAAAGAAGGGATGATATTACTAAAACTAGCCGACATCTACTATCAAAGAGGCAAATACGAGGAAGCAAAACAGTGTTGCGAAAAGGCACTCGGCATCCTGATTGAGACTGGAAACAATCACGGAGTTGGAATATGTTACGGAAATTTAGGAACTCTGTTTGAATCTGTTGGTCAATATACCAAGGCTGAAGAATACCTTCAAAAAGCACTAGTGATCAGGAAAGAAAACGGTGACAAAAAAGGAGAAGCATCTACTTACGAAAATCTAGGAACTGTGTTTCTTTCTGTTGGTCAATTTACCAAGGCTGAAGGATACCTTCAAAAAGCACTAGTGATCAGGAAAGAAGTCGGTGACAAAGAAGGAGAAGCATCAGATTACGGAAATCTAGGAACTGTGTTTCTTTCTATTGGTCAATACACCAAGGCTGAAGAATACCTTCAAAAAGCACTGGTGATCAGGAAAGAAGTCGGTGACAAAGAAGGAGAAGCATCAGATTACGGAAATCTAGGAAGTGCGTTTCAATGTGTTGGTCAATATACCAAGGCTGAAGAATACCTCCAAAAAGCACTAGTGATCAGGAAAGAAATTGATGACAAAGATGAAGAAGCACTTGCTTACGGAAATCTAGCAACTGTGTATCTTTCTGTTGGTCAATATACGAAGGCTCAAGAATGCCTTCAAAAAGCACTAGTGATCATGAAGAAAATTGGTGACAAAAAAGGAGAAGCATTTGCTTACGGAAATCTAGGAACTCTGTTTGAATCTGTTGGTCAATATACCAAGGCTGAAGAGTACCTTCACAAAGCGCTGGTGATCAACAAAGAAATCGGTAACAAAAAATTAGAAGCATCAAACTACGGAAATCTAGGAACTGTTTTTCTTTCTGTTCGTCAATATACCGAGGCTAGAGAATACTTTCAAAAAGCACTAGTGATCAGGAAAGAAATCGGTGACAAACAAGGAGAAGCATCAGATTACGGAAATCTGGGGATTGTGTTTCTTTCTGTTGGTCAATATACCAAGGCTGAAGAATACCTTCAAAAATCACTAGTGATCAGGAAAGAAATCGGTGACAAAAAAGGAGTAGCATCTGCTTACGGAAATCTAGGAACTCTGTTTGATTCTGTTGGTCAATATACCAAGGCTGAAGAATACGTTCAAAAAGCACTGACGATCGAAGAGGAAATCGGAGACAAACGTGGTGTTGGCGGTTCATACTTAAATCTGGGAAAACTTTGTCGAGAATTTCAGCTTAATGCAAAGGGTCAAGAATTCGCTCATAAAGCACTCGAGATAAGTTACGAAATAGGGGACATTGAAATGCAGTTTAGGAGCCACCTTTCCATTGCTCAGAACGCGTTAATGGTAGGAGAAAACATAACTGAACTACTGCGAAATCTTTATGAAAGCATTCAGAAGTCCGAAGAAATGCGTGATTTTTTCAGAGTGGAAGATCAATTCAAAATTTCTTTTTTTGATGAGCATGTGTCTCCTTACCTTCTTCTTTGTAGGTTGTTGATTGCTACAGGCAGTTATAATGAAGCTCTTTACGTTGCCGAGCTTGGACGGTCCAGAGCGCTGATAGACGTACTGTCAGAAAAGTACTCTGTGGATAAAGGGGTATCAGTCAACACACAGTCATGGTTTGGTATTGAGAACATCATGAACAAAAATGCACTTAGTTCTTGTCTTTATGTTTCCTGCTTCGATGATAATATGTACTTTTGGATCCTCAAGCCAAACAAAACTATAGATTTTCGACAAAAGACACTCCGAGAAAGTGCAGATAAAGTGTTTGAAAGTCAGACATTTGGTAGCTCTCTTGATTTACTTCAAGACCAATGCGAAGATCGATCATTGTTTTCATGTGTAAGCTCCCCGAAATCATGCAAGCCATCCCAAAGTGACGGCTTCGAATCTTTGCGTCTTATAGAAGAAGAGGAAGACGAAAATCACGACTCTAAACCTTTAACCCTTGCTGATGGTTACAACATGATAGTCGCTCCTGTAGCTGACTTACTCCAAGAATCAGAAATCATTATTGTACCGGATAACTTGTTGTATCCAATTCCTTTTGCTGCTTTAATGGATGATAATGGAAAGTATTTATCGGATACTTTCAGGATTCGTATTGTCCCTTCCTTGACGACTCTTAAGTTGATTCAGCTCAGTCCAGTAGACTACCATAGTAAAACCGGTGCACTGATTGTAGGAGAGCCAGACGTTAGTGATGTTTACTATCAAGGAAAAATTCTACAGTTAAACTCATTGCCTTGGGCCAGAAAGGAAGCAGAGATGATTGGGCGACTGCTCGGTGTTCAACCGTTGCTTGGAAGGAATGCAAATAAGCAGGCAGTCCTGGACAGCATGCATTCAGTAAGTCTCATTCACTTCGCTGCTCATGGTTATGCTGAACGTGGAGAAATAGCTCTCTCCCCTGTAAGCTCCTGCGGAACTCCACGCGAAGAAGACTACTTATTGACGATGGCTGAAATTTCACAAGTTCGACTAACAGCCAAGCTGGTTGTCCTTAGCTGCTGTCATAGTGCACGTGGTCAGATAAGGGCTGAGGGAATTGTTGGAATCGCTCGAGCATTTTTAGCATCGGGCGCACGCGCTGTGCTGGCGGCACTGTGGGCTGTACAGGACAAAGCAACCATGTGGTTCATGAATCGTTTTTACGAGCACCTTGTTCGTGGTGAAAGCGCCAGTGAATCTCTTCACCAGGCCATGAAGTCGATGAGAGAGACTCGCTTTTCTGACGTCATGCAGTGGGCACCCTTTATGCTGATTGGAGATGATGTAACATTCAAAGGTTTGTATTTGATATTTATAATTTTTAGGTTTTTCTAGCTATTTGTAGTCAAAATGTGTGAAGTTTATGTTCGTGACAACTCGTTATTTTGAGAAATAAGTTTTGTTAGTTTCTTTCTTTATTGTTTTTGTCTAACCCTGTTCAAGACATGAAAGTGAGGCAACTGGAGAGAAGGCCGAATTTTATTTTCCGAATCTCATGGAATATTTCGTAAGGCATGCATGCTCGGATCTAAAATCACTAACTAAAATGAGAATGTAGAAAACAGTAGTTTAGATTCCAAAGAGCATAAGAAAACAATTTAAGTCAGAGAAGAGGAGTAAGTGTCAAACACACTTTTTCTTAATGGAGTACCTGATGAAAGGAAAAACGTAGCCTCTTACAGCTTCCGAGATAGTCGGTCCGCGAAATTGAGAAAGCGCGAACGGGAAAATAAAAGGGGCCCCCTTTTCTCAGATTCAGGCGCTCATATTTTTGTATGCCTTTCACCTCGTCATCCCTACTATCTGAGAACCTGGAACAGGCTATAAAAAACGCTGTATGTATTTTTTAGTCTTAAAACAGATTAATCCTGAGGGAACCAGATCCAGCTCAGAGCAGGGTATACGTACTAATAATTATTACCGGTGAGCGAGAGTTTAAAAGCAGACGAAAAGATTCCCTCGGTACTTAATCTAGCCCAAGCAGCTGCAGGAGCATTTTATTTTGAAACTTCTCTTTTATACAGATATTTTTCTGGAAAATGAGCTAAGGGCAACTTCCTTGTCGTTTTCGTGTGTTCTTAAAACGAGGTTCAGTTTTGTCATCAGTCGCCTCTTTTATGATGCTTGTTTCGCGGAGAAGTCGCAAGATTTAATATTTCCCCAAGAAAGTATTTCATTCGATTCAGCTGGGTTTTACAATACGTTTTTTTTCGCTTTAGTTCTCTGCGTAGTCGCGATTTTGTACCAGAGGAGATGTTTGATATTTTGGGCAACCATTGCACGGGCTGCTCGGGCTGCAAGGGATCAGCGTTAGTTGGCTCGATATCAATCTCCTGCCTCAAGATATAGTTTGATGAGTATACAAACAACAAACGCAGGAAATTAAAATAAAGTAAAATATTCTCACTGCATACATTTTTGGCCCGTGACGCGGGAATTAAGTAACCCCTTAAATTCCGTCGTGTTCGGCCTGCGCGCAGATGGCATGATGCATTGCGGCCCTTGGTTAGAATTGCTAATTTTTTGCCCGCCTTTTGGCTAGTTCAACGCAGTTCAGCGGAAATGACTAAGAAATTTCGCCCCTCCCACCTCCCCTGGTGGCGGTGGACGTCGCTAACCCTCATTATTCCGCATGCCTATTGTCCTGGCAGTCGCGGTTGCCTCCCATAACTTAGTTCCCCCGTGTCGGAACAATGGATATGCAGTGCGAAAATTATACGAATTGCATTTAAGCTGAAAGTGATACAATACGACTTTACTAAACTTTTAGCATACAACTAATTTCCTCAAAGTGTAAAGGTTTGCTATTTGTTTGACTTTGAATGTGTTAGAGGTATTAAGGTAAAATATTTAGCACAACGAGCAACATAAGCATGTTGATCGATGGCTAAAATAAATCGTGCAAAGAATACATACGAAAGGGAACCGTCATCATGATTAGTTTTTCTATTTGCAGGTGCATTTGATAAGAGCAGTTTAAAAGATGGCGAAGGTGAAACGGAAACAAAGAACTTGTAAACTGAGAGGAAACATGTCGTTTAAGTTGACAACTAATATCACAGCTGTACATAAATGTATATACCACGGATCTTAATGAAGTGGTCTTGTCTGAGACCGCAACGTGAACAGGTGATAATTGTACTTTTTAAAGCAGGCGCCATTTTGATACGTTACGGGCGAAGGTAAAGCATGAGCTGAGCGCGGAACACAAGGAGAAGGGGGGAGGGGTAGGCAGGGCCAGTTAGTCGTCAAAGTTGTATACTCCTGAACCTACGTCTACTATCAGATTAGTCAGGGCTTAATTCGTTCTACATGACTTCTGCTGCCCGTCAATCGTGCGCTTCACGCTTGCTTCAAATACGCTCAATCACTTGCATGAACGCAAGTATTTCTTTGGTTTGATAAACTTTGTAAATACACTGATCTTGACGAACGTGATGAAATGCCAATAGATATCTAAGCTAAGAAAAGGGACGCAAGTGTCCTCTGGAATTAAGCGCTCTTTGCAAGGTGCACCCAACGACGATTTCCTCCTAAATACATTGAAAACACTTTTTAGGCTATCCAGAGTGCTTTTAGATCTCTAGAAATACATTCTCTTTGGACATAGGGGTGTTTGAGTCTTTTCGAAATTACAAGGGCTTCTGTATCATTTTCCCGAAAATTTTAGATGCAATTTAACGTATTACGAAAGTGAGAACTTTTCTGAATCCTGTCTCCATCACACTCTTGAATCCGAAAATAACCTTAGGTTTCCTTTTTTCTACGAAACATAGCTTAACCTAAAGTGAAATGTGACAAAATATTTTTACTTCAGAAAATCGTAGGGAATTAGTCACCGAAAATTGTACATGAACGGAACTGTCATCTAGAAATTTTTAGCTGTCCTCAAATAATAGAGAATTCTATACGCAATATTTGCGTCTCCGAACAGATATTTTACGGAAAAACCGTCGTTGGGTGCCCCTGCTTGGCGTCAATACGATACTTACGGTATTGGACATCTTTAGAATGTCGGGAAATTCTAAACTCTTTCCAGATATGTCATTTTGGTTTTCTTAGAAATGAGCCTACCTATCAATCGTTACAGCGTCTTTGTGTAATTTGTTAGCTTATTTCTATTAGAACTTTACCCCTCTGACTAGAGGTCTGTTATAAATAAGGTAGGTTAGATGTTTTCTGAGCTAAAGCGCTCATCAAATAACTTTGTTCAAGAGAAGAGGCTACTTAGTGAACAGGGTGAGTTATTTAGTGAGGACAGACGGCAAATTGCTGTTGCTCGAAATATCTGAAAGTCTACTAAATAGAAAATCTAAACACCGTAACTGTTCGTCAGTTGGACAATGTGGCTTTCACTTTCCAGTAATGAGTCACATAATAACAACAAAACATGACCTGCTGCAATTTTAACCTGATCGTGTCAGGACTTCTCGTTAGTGTTCCCCTCCGCCTCAGTGAAATAATTAACAGCAAGGGCCGAATCAGCTCATTCTCTTTTGTTAACAGGAGGAATGATGGGATGGAACGCTGGATGTAAAGTCTGGTAGATTCCTCCGTTCCCAGTAGTCTCGCCAGTCTCTCCCCAGCTCCCTGTGAGAGAGTTTAAACATTAAAGAGAGAAGCGCGCAGGAGATACACGCGGAACAGCTGGGAAGAAAGAAGCGGGCAGACGATTACACAATGACCTAATCAATTAGACAATGACCTTTGGCAATGATCTTTTGTCGAGTTCCCGAGCCAATCTCCCACGGCCGATTCGCGACCGCGTATGAATGACGGGGAGGGGACCACTGTGGACAAGCCTCCTCTGCGGTCAAACGAGAAAAATTTGGAAACCTAAGCAAAGTATTGCAACTTTAAAATCAGCCTTGCTTCTTTCCGTTGTTCAGATATCTTAAGTTATAGCTGATTAGATCCTCTATTAGGATCCAGTGCTTCTCTATTTTGTAACGTTGGTCCTTGCTTTCGAAACTGAATTCAAAGCTAGGGTTGCTACTTTTATTTCACTGGAAGCATACAACATATAAGTACTAATGCGCTGTTGATTTTCTAACTGTTTTGTAAGTTTAATAAAAAAGTTAGAGGTGTTTAAGAACTTAAACAGGTGATACCGTTTGTCAGCAAAATTTACTTCGGCGCAAAGCGTTTTCAACGGAAACAAGCTCAATATTTTGCGAAAAAAATGAGAACTTTGTTAAATTAAGTGGTCATTTTGTACATCCTTGCCCATGTTTCCATTTAATGACGAACAACATCCAAGACGAAAGTCATACCTCGTAAAATTAACGGGATGATTCAAAATAACTGCTATTTTTGTGAGGGGATGACCGCGCACAACAACAACATGGGCTCTAAACAACCTCAGAACAAATGTTGTGACTATTCGACCGGGGCATAAACGCCAAGCAAACTCTTGGAGATTCAAGACTTAACAGCTCTGTTTGCTTGTGTTTTTCAACGCCTCAATTAAAAAGTTAGTCGGGGGACTGATGGAACGCTGAATGTGAAATCTGGTGGAGGGAATGATTACTCCCAGTCGCCTCGCTTGTTTCTCTCTTTTATTAAACATTAACGACGGGAGCGCATAGGATATATGCACGNTAAAAAAGTTAGAGGTGTTTAAGAACTTAAACAGGTGATACCGTTTGTCAGCAAAATTTACTTCGGCGCAAAGCGTTTTCAACGGAAACAAGCTCAATATTTTGCGAAAAAAATGAGAACTTTGTTAAATTAAGTGGTCATTTTGTACATCCTTGCCCATGTTTCCATTTAATGACGAACAACATCCAAGACGAAAGTCATACCTCGTAAAATTAACGGGATGATTCAAAATAACTGCTATTTTTGTGAGGGGATGACCGCGCACAACAACAACATGGGCTCTAAACAACCTCAGAACAAATGTTGTGACTATTCGACCGGGGCATAAACGCCAAGCAAACTCTTGGAGATTCAAGACTTAACAGCTCTGTTTGCTTGTGTTTTTCAACGCCTCAATTAAAAAGTTAGTCGGGGGACTGATGGAACGCTGAATGTGAAATCTGGTGGAGGGAATGATTACTCCCAGTCGCCTCGCTTGTCTCTCTCTTTTATTAAACATTAACGACGGGAGCGCATAGGATATATGCACGAGGAAAGATGGGAAATAAATATTTCCTCTATCTTTCCCCTTCATCGAATTTCCGTGCCAGTCTCCTCCAGGTCGATGGTGCAATGACTTTTTAACAAGATCACATTTTTCCACGCATTATGACAGCTAAGGAAAAAGCGTTTTTGAGCGACACACATCAACCTATCGCCAAGAATGAGACGGCATACATCTGGGACCTTTTAACATGTAGTCGGTCAGACAAAAGGGAAAACGGCCGAAAATCGGCTACCAGCACCTACATCAGGCGTGTTAGCAACGCTCGTCAACCCAGCGGGGCTAGGTGCCGGGCCTTTTCCCTGTGCCTTAACGCGAACAAATTTGTACTGCTAATTAAGTGTCTCTAATCTTATGACAATTTGTCTAAAAATATGAGCAAAACCGCTGGACGAGAAAGCAAAAAGGTACACATCCAGTTGCCGTCGGTCGCTCGCTTGTCTCTTTCTCTTATTTAATGTTAACGACGGAAGCGCAAAATATATATGCACGGAGGAAGATGGGAAATAAATGTTTCTTCTCTTTTTCCCCTTTATCGATTTTCCGTGCCAGTCTCCTCCTGGCCGATGGTGCAATGACTTTTAACAAGATCACAAGCAAACGCGTTTTTGAGCGACGCCAACAACCCACCACCCAAAATAAAAATAAAAAAACATCCGGGACCTTTTCAGTCGCAGGCGCAAAAATTCAAGTCTATTCTTAACTCCAGTGGGTTAGACAAAAGAGAAAATGGCCGAAAATCGGCTACCAGCAACTACATCAGGCGTGTTTTCGAAACGCGTCAATAACTGCGGGGCTAGGTGAGATCTTTTCCCTACACCTTAACGCGAACAAATTTGTACCGCCAAGTGTCTCTACTCTTATGACGATTTGTCTAAAAATATGGGCAAAACCGCTGGGCAAGAAAGCAAAAAGGTACACATCCAGTTGCCGTCGGTCGAACTCAGAAACGCCTTTTCTCGCCTTCAGACGACTTCAAAAGTAACAAACTTGTGGCATGTGGGCGGGGTAGGCGAGAGTGTCACATATAGACCCGCATACTGTCTGACCACATTTTGATGTCTTGTTTGATCTATAACTGACAAGACGCAAGAGATGAGACAACTTTTGAAGTCAATTCTTATCGACGACGACACGTTTTCTACGTGAGTTAGCATGCTGATGAAGTAGATGTAAACAAAATCGGTCGGTTATTATAATAACTCCAACTTAGACCGTGGCTTAGGAAGTCTTTGAGACTCAAGATCTCTTCCTTAGTGGTTTATTTTAAAAAGACAAATGCTTTTCTAGTCTACGCCATTTGCTTTCTTGAAACTGTTTACGAAACATGGTGTTAACATAAAAGCGTTCGGCAACTGAAAATCGCTTAGAACGCGGTTTTGTCAAACACTGGCTAAACTCCGTTGAAATAACTGGCCCAATGTGCCTTGAAAAATGGAAGGGAATTTTTTGGTGAAATTTTTTCCTCCAACTCCTCGGACGAAGGCACTGTCACACGCCAAAAAGGAATCTCTTTTTCGAGCCTTTCGGTTGCTTAATCTGTGAAAAATCTCATCCTCAAAAACCGAGGGGCAGTCCTGAAGCCGTGCTTGAAAACTTTCGTGTTCTCGTTTCTACACTGAGACCTACCGGAATGCACTGAATTTCTGAGAATGCATGTTGGACAGGTTAGCCAGGGATTCCATCGATCTAAACCCCCTTGGACACCGTATGAAGCTTACACAGTATAGTATTCTTTATTGCTTCCTAATTGTTCATGAAATTTCTAGTAAGTCTGTCAAAATTTCTGCTCAGGAAATGTTCATGAAACTGTTAAAGTCTCTTCACTTTATAACGAAAAACAATTTCCGAGTAGCGTGAGTAAGAATCGAACGCGAATCGTAAAATATGCAGTCCTTCACCCATACCACACTACTCCACTGAGGATTCACTGCTGAGAATAGGTTTGATTTGAAGGTATCTGAAAGCAAGCCTAATCCTAACTGAAAGCAAACCGTTTTGTGTCAGTGCTTAACGTTAATCAGTAATTTCAGTTCTTAACCCTAATTGGTATTGTCAGTGCTTAACCCTAATCACTATAGTCATGCAGTGCTGGAAACTGGACAAAAAAATTAAAGCAGAAAAGACTTTTCTGTGTCTATACTTTAACGACCAATTAAGCCACCGACGCGTGCACTAAGCATATTGTGTTAAGTACCTAAAAACGTAAACTAAGTAAAAAAAAAAATAGATGTTAAATAGATAGTCAGAGCTCGAAACTGGACAAAACAAATTAAAGAAAGAAATCTTTTCTGTGACGTGAGTTACGTGTCTGTACTTTGACGATTAATTAACCGTAATTCTTTGTTCCTGACAATGATTTTGAACCCCTGTGAGTCTGTACCCTTTCAGTTCAGTTCAGTTCAGTTCAGTTTTATTTAGCCAAAGTAATAAGAATACATATAAGAATTGTAAGTTGGCAAGGGAGCCCAGAAGAAACCAAAAGGCTTATGAAGCCTTTGGCTCCCCAGTCACAAAAAAAATAAGTAAAATGAAATTCGCGGAGTAATGCATTAAAAATACATGTAGTAACGAAAAACCAAACAAAGACTAATTTAAGTTAAGAATTCAGTAACAACTAGAAGAACGTTTTTAACTCTGGATTGGAAGGTATATAAGGAGGGGGCATCACAAATGAAAGCATTCAGCTTATTAAAGAAGACAGCACCTTAATACAAAACAAAACAATTTCTCAAAGCCCTTCTCGCTGATAACTCTAACAATGCGGTTTTACAATAAGACTAGGCGCCTAAGGTGAGTAGGGTTTGTCGACTCCCATACTAGAATGCAATACTGAAGATAAGAATAGACACGTGCGTAAAGTACACAAAGCTGTCCTCCTGTACTTTAGATTATTTCTTTTCTTTTTTAAAAACATTCATCCTTATGATTCAGCAAGTCACCTCCATTAATTTTCAGACCGTTTATCTGAAGATATTCTTTATCTAAAATCTGTAAAGTAACATACTGCGCTAGTGTAGGCCTATCAAAAACGATGGTATGTCCCTCGCTAACAAATCCTCTTGCTGGTCCTTCAAAGTGCCCACACTGATTGTTAACCTGAAGTTTTTTGTTGCTATGGTATCCTCTGTCACGTGCTGTGAACCCATCAGGCACAGGTGTCATTCCAGCTCTGACTTCTACATTCCTTAGTCTTGCCCAACAGCCATTTTTACGATTGATAATGGTCACGGACGAAATCACGACTGGAGAAGGAAATCTCACTTCCAGCCACGGGTGCATCTCAAGGTCGGAGTGAAAGTAGAAACAGTCGTTATTTGAAACTTTACCATCAATTGAAAATTTGGGCCCCCAATTATGTAAATTCATGCCGTGTACTGAAGATCCTCGAGCTTCGAAGCCCATTTCATCGTTCGGCGCTGTCAGCCACTGCTTTATCAGATTGAATTTCCATTGCACCTGTGTCATAATCGTGACTTGCTCTTGCTGCAAACGGACAACGTCATTTATCATGTCCTTGGAGAAGGTATCCAGACTATTGATATCTTGAGGCCCAAAGTTTTTAACGCCTGCTTCAATTAGCTCTTTTATTTCCAGTTTGTAACCAAGCCCAATCACGTGGCCTAAATTCGACTGATCAATGTGCTTGATGATGTAATCTATGCAAATGCCACGCACATCCGTCAGATTGATGTAGTCGGCAAACATCAGAACATTTTCAACATTCCTTTCCTTGAGGTTCACTTTTTGAGTATACAAATATTCAATGCAAATCTTTATCTCATCATTTGAAAAATTAACAAACTTAGTTTCACGGCAATTTGAATGGAAGCGGAATAGAGCTGCGAAGTAATCACATTGAGAAGCAAGAATAAATTTGTGTGATTTAACCTCCATGTCATCTTTGTCCCGGATGGTAAAGTCATAAAATTGCTCTTCTTCCCTTTTCTTGTGATAGGCTTCTATGTTGTTACAGAAGTTCGTGTGACGAGTTCCTCCTGGCATTCTTGGTGAGAAGGATTTACCCTGAAGCTGAAAAAAAAACACCACCAAGCTCTCGATCAACTCCAATTTAAATGAGGCCGATCTGGACACTTCAACCATCCCAGCCGAGGTAAATTTGTTTGCTCAAAGTCAATTACCATAGCAACAGCTTGTAAAAATTAAACAAGTCAAATTACAACTCACCGCACAAGAAAGAAAAATTGTTTTGAGTCACTCTGAAATACTGAACTGAAACGATTCAAAAACTTTACGGATTCTGAAGACAAGTCTTGGCATGGATTACCTGTTCGGAAATTCTTTGAGCAGTAGACGCGTATACCTCCTTATTATATGAAGAATAATGCACAACGGCTTCCCTCACCTTCTTTATAAAGCTGCATCACAACCACTGTTTTGAGCAAATGGAAACAGTATGTTGCTGCTGTCAGTAATTACAAAAATAGCATTATAAAATTTGTGAGTATCATGAAATAGTTCGCGGATGGTGCAAAACGATCACATCTAAATACAGAAAAAAAAAATGATTTTGCATTTGTGACTTTCACTTTCTAGTGATGAGTCGCATAACAACATCAGAACATGACCGACTACAATTTTAACCTTATTCTGTTTTTATTGTCGCCCATTCTTTTCCCTCTTCCCACCCTCCCACCATTACCCCTTCGTCTTCATAATTTCAAGAATATCGAAGCATTGATAGTGAAAGTTGGAAAGTTAGTTAGTTGGAAAGTTATCTGAAAATCGAAATATCTCACTAGCCTTGATGACGTCATAAGTCGATTGATTTGTCATGACTTACGATGGCTGCCATCTTGGACTCCACCGTCATATTTGTTTTTATTTTTTTCTACTCGAAAATAGGTAAAATGCGGGCAAAAAAGCTGAGTAAAAATAGGCATTAAGAGAGTAAAATTGTCAGTATGA